AGGCCCTGGGGCTTACCAGGCAAGAGGCACATAGTAAATGAAGTGCGATAAAGCAAATTTGGCCGGCCGCAGGCTGTACTGTAGGACCTCGTGTTGTTGAAGCGCCCAACACAATTGTCTTCCTTGCCTCGCGTCGACGGCGTGTTTGATGCCTGCGATAGAAGCAAGAACACCCAAAGAATGGCGACTACACCGGCAACAGGTTCACATAAAGAGATAAGGAACTTAATGATTCATACATTTCGCACCAAATTCTGCAGTTGAGGGCCCGTCGGAAGTCCCCCTGTGCAGTTCCTATTAACAGCATATAGAATCCCTAACACGTAAAAAATCCATGATACGTCAAAGTAACGAATTGGAATTAGCGGGAAGCCGTTGACCTATCGTCTAGACCTGAGTATAAAATCACCAGCCCCTTGTGCGCGGGTGGGTGACTAGAGTGACCGCTTCTTCCGCCGATTCTTTAGTGTTTGTGTAGAGAAACCCCTTTGCGCCGCGAGAGATCATCCCTCTCCACAAACTGGTTTCATACTCCCTGAGCTTGGCCCACCCGCCTCCCCGTAACTTATCCCACCCAGTAGCAACTAGGACCACGGACGAGTAGAAGTTGTTGGCCTCACATATTCCGCTGAAGTAGTCGATATCGGGCCGCACAGGTCGTCTATCGTCCATGTTTTGGAGATACAGTATACCGGCGAGATGGTCACTGCGTCTGTGACAGCCTGAAGTTCAAGGCACAGACTCATCACTTAGTTGACATTCTCACCTCGTTTTCCGTAACCAATTCCGCACCAAGCGGAAGATATCATATTCAGACAAAAGTCTGCCATCCGCAAGGGAACCGATACCGGGAGTGTCAAGAAGGGTAATGTTGACTCCCCGTATGTCCACAGCCGTGGCCGTTATCCGAGACGTTGGATTATTAAAGCGGGAAGCGGTTTGGTGCAAGGAGTGTCCCGTGAGCTGGCGTATAAACTATCACGTAGCTGCAGCGGTGCTTTTCACAACATCGGATCAAACCTCACCGAGGTTTTCCCTGACCCTGAGGGCCCGATCAATCTGCAGGAAACAGCGCACGATTCATTTTCAGCTTCGAATATGTGATGGAACTCACGCGACGATCATCTCATCCTCCAGATACGCTGTGGGCTCAGACCTATCAAAAGGGACATCGTTGAAGAAAAGATGGAAGGAATTACCGCTACATCCGCATATTGAGGACCACTAAGACAAGTCAGTTAGAGATGGCAAGCCTTATAATTGACCGAATTGACCATCGTTAGGTAGTAGGAAAGCATTGTACGTTGCGAGAGCAGTTGATGGTTCAGACACTTACGCACCATGTTCGTCTAGTGGCCTACTAATAAGCAATTCTCCCAACAAGAGCATGGATAACGCATGGTGTGGACAAGGCGTCGGTCTTCTTCGTGGTTTCAATTACATCCTTAAATACTTTTGGCCGCACTACTTCCCCCATTCATATTAGCACTTTGCGTCGACCTTGTCGCCTTTGCATCCTATCACCTCACTAGGTTCCCCCTTGCTGTCGGGTGGATCGCGGAGTACTACATTTGTTTCGGCCTGTTATCCCATTCTATCTAATGTCAAGGCGTGATCATATGGGCGTCGTTTCTATATCGGTGGGCAGCAGTTGAAAACCCAAGACCGTTCGGAGAAGAGCATGTGCAAATGGTGCGATTACATAACTAGGTCCTTTCCGAAATTGGTGTCAAATTTGGGTCTTTTTGTCTTCGCGTTACTCGTTCTCGGGCCAGTGCGTCCATGTAAGCGGTGGTCGAAGGAGCCATGGATGCATGCGAAACACGAGCGCCAACCGTATTCTACTGCGTAGTTGAAGAAACCCTCTTGGGTCGCCAGCTTCAATAGCCAGACCCCGCGGCAGTGCTGCCCATCATACAGGGCACAATACCTCTCACATGAGGCGACGAACGAAACGTATTATCCCGGGGATCGGATGCGCGTGGTCACGGACTGTGCAACGCGGAGCGCCGAAGGTGCACTCTTTGGCAGGTATTGTTTAGGATCACCGTTATGAAACCTGGTGACCAGTAGACTGGGTGGCAGCCTCAGGTTTGCGCAAAGCGCCGAGCTGTGGAGTGTGGCAGGTGAACGCATTTCCAGCACCCAACATGCCAATTTCGTGCCACGGAGTTCACACATCCACACCTTTGCGCTCGGGGAATAATTTGGCGTTGCTAATAGCCGAACCGCCGCAATCGTTAGGTGCGAGGTTGAAGAGCACGAAGTACGGACTAGTCATGGGGCCATATGCAAGCTTGTGTCGGATCATAAGGCGCAAAGTGCTAGGTCGGAACGTGCCGCAGGTATGCACGCGACTTCTCTGTTCTTTTATTGTACGTGTGTACTGTGTCAGATACGGTTGTTGACCTCGTGTCTAGCCTTTTCTCTATCCGATGCTTCCACGGTGTAAAATCAGTCTGCCTAAATGGAGGGGGAGACGAGACTGATCACACACTACTTGAAGCCTTTCACTATCATACACAATGCATTCAGAGACGTTGGCCCACCGAATGAACCTGAAATCCTTGCTATCGACTAATTTCTCGCACTCACCATAATACTCCTTTGCAGTTCTTGGTCGGAGCGTAGATGAAGCAAGGTGTACCCACACTGCACCAGAAACAACCCCGCAAATTCTGCCCCCTAACATCCTTTGTTGGCCTGCGCGACAGTCGCATCGCCTTTGCAGTTTTTGATGGCGATGGAGGCGGGGAGGGAGGGGGAGCGGTAGGTAGGCGACATGTGGCGGCTTTACACGTTGACAGTAAGGTCGCAAGGGTGGTGGATAGTATCCCCTTGCTTCCGACATGAATTGTCTCATTCAGAAGCGTGGAAAGCCTAACAAAGAAAGCTTCTGGTAACCGTAAAGTGTCAGTCACCCTGCCTGTAATGAAGCATATAGCAGGGAACGTACTGTGCACTCCTGGTCAACATTCTCAAGAGCACTTCCTGAACTCTGGCGGCGGATTTTCCTGATCCAGCGGGACCTGTGACGCTGATTTGACTTTAACCTGGATACAATCAAGCGCGGTGTTCAACCTATGCGATGGGTTGAAAGACTGGTGCGCTGAGTATGTAGGTGGTAAGGTCATATCAGTAGTATCCACCTATCCTGCCACAGCCAAACTCGGTGTCAATTCATCAGAGTTACAACCGCCGCCAAGGGGCACCTCCTTTGGAGTTCGCGTGCCCTCCAGCCCAACCGAAGTGTTATACCCCTAGTGCATCATTGCTGCCATTGCTGTTCCTCTCGCCATCGACCACCTGGTATGGTCGTGTCGTATGGTTGGTTTTGCAACGACGAAAGCTTGTCTCCAGCTTCGCTGCAGCTGACTCTACATTCCCATCGTCCTCCAGGTAAGTTATCCTGCATGCCCCGATGCCTATCAATCTTCTCGCGGTATCGCACATGAGGCAATTTCGCACAGACCTTAATTGTTGTGGTCTCGCAACTTCACAAGCCCAATCCAGCCCGCCAATAGGCCCTTCATGACCACTTTCCATCATCTAACGTCGCATGGGGCATGTTTCAGTGGTGTCTCGCCTTTGGTACGAGGGTCCATTGTCCTACGATCCATGAGTGCGGACTGTAATTTCATGGGGTTCAACGTCGTTGCCATGGCAAAAGCCACCACGGGAAACCACCGTCGCATACGAAAGGTGACCGGTGACCCTGGACAGACGACAGCAGTATAAAAGGTCCTGAACTGTGCTCGACTATCAGATCCGAGGCCGTTAGCGTCGGAAACGGAAATATGCGGGCTGTGAGATTCGAAATTTGACAACGGAGGTGAATAGGGGTGACAAAACTGTGTATACTAATTATTCCCGCAATCTGCTGAACCAAAGTCCAGACATGTTTAGCGGCGCCCATTAACCACTGATGCTGGAGCTCGGGGTTGGGACGGCTGTCAAGCATGGGTTTATCTCTCCGGAACCGCTATACCTGATGTACTGCGTGCTCGAGCACCAAGCAACAGTTGATGCTTTGACGTGCCAGTCCCTGCATCAATCATGATCCTGGATCAATGTATGTTCAGAAATTGGTACCAGTGTCATACACTGCATGGCGGTGCCTACCTCTGCAAGTGAGCTTGATTGTCATCCGGATAAGTGCATAGTCCCTTAATAATAAACCCAATATCTTTCAAGCCCTGGTGGCAGCGGTTACGACGACCTCGGATGTGTGTGGTTCCACTTACGTCCGTCATTCCTTCCTTCCGAATATAGTTCACAACCTGAACCATGTCAACTGACATATTTGAAGATGGGGAGTGAGCTTGCCTCTGGTAGTAATTGCTCCACTTCCTGGCAGATCCCACACCAACAGAGCCACAAAACCTACCAACGAATGCATGGTCGTTCTTGGAAAGTAATAGTTCGACACCATCTTACCTTCCCTGTGAGGTCCTCTTCCAACGCTCGTCGTTCGTCGTCGTCTTTTGTTACTCCGAGCTTTGCTTGGAGTGCCATTATTTCTTGCGCCATGGAACGGGTGCTAGCCTGCCTGTACCTCGTCTTCAGGAAACAGACTATCGAATATTGGAAGGTATAGCTCTAACCTGTCGTAATCAATGTGCTCCGGTCGAGTTGTTTGCCTGGATAAAGAAAAAAATTATTGAAGTAAGGAAGCCATCGAAGGAGAGAATGAATGCACACGAGCACATACATATGGTCAGAGTCCGCATCGGCGAAAGTGTTACTAATGCAGTTGAGTAGCTTGTTTTGTGACCAGAATGAGCTGCCACTCTTGTTTGCTAAAAGCAACGCTTACGCCAGCACTCAGAGTTTGTGATATGACTTTCATCTCGCGTTCTGTGCTTCGTCTCTCGGCAGCAACGTGACCCCGCGCCCCAGACTCTGTGGTAAGACTTTCGCACTTGTTGCGCAAAATGGTTAACGTTGTTTCAGGGTGCTGATCCTGCGTAGCTCTGTGTCGGTGCTTATCTGTGGATGGACTGCGCTTCATCACCCAACTGAGAAACAACGATCTCAGAGGGCGCGCCAGCAGGCTACCTCCTAACACTGAATGTAAACTTCTGGATAAATACGCATTGCATGGTGACCTGACCTTTGACAGCACCTGCAGAAGATTCGCCAAGCGACTCAGCTCCCATCATCGAAGCGAGCCTTGTGAAGAATGTTATCTCTCCTACCTATATATCGACGGTGAGAACAGCCGGGATATTAAAAGAATGATTACGCACGTATTTTGTGAGGGTCCCTAAACCGAACATATCCGAGAAGAACTCGATTGCTCTATCCGTTGTTTGTCTGCTCTGTTGACATCGAAAGTCAGTGCTTATGAACCCCATGCAGCAGCCTAACGCACCGTGGACTGGTGACGAGCTTCCGTTCCCACACAATCACGCTGTAGACAAGGGGGTCGATCAGACAAATTCAGTGCTCACAGCTTAATGGATGAAAGGTCACCCACTAGGGCAAAAAATTGTTCCCTACATTTCGGAACGCAAGGTCAGTGACTCTACACAACATGATTATCCGTTCGCTTACCGAATACTCTTGAACTGCTCCCTCCTCTGTGCGCAGGCCGATTCTCTTCGCCAAACTTGTGGGCTTGCAATGGCACATAAGGGAGTCAATAGGCCTGGCTCTTCGATGTGATTCTGATTCTTCCATGCCACGGCTGGTAATTAAGGTCAGAAGGAAGGCACGAGCTAATCTTTCGGTAAAGTTTACCTTCTGAATCCTTCCGTTGTCCCCAAGAATCAACTGCATAGAACTCTGAGCAATGTATGACTGTTGTCACTAAATGCTTGTTTGCAGGATCTGTGGATAGCGCCTTCAGTAATCGCATCAGCGGTTGATTGTTCGGGAGAGAGCGCCCGATTGGTTGGTGCAAAACCAGGCGATTTTCCCCTTTTTGAAGGGTTACTGTCAGGTCATCCTGATTTGGCGGATAATTCAGTGCGTCTTCATCACCGGACACCCGGGCTACAACTGGGCAGTTAGCCAGATCTGTAGGATCAATGCCGAACGCCTGCATATCCCCGAATATGTTCCCATGACATTCAAAGTTGGTATTAGAACACTCGCCATAATCACCCAGCTATTTATGTCAGACCAGAGGTTAAGCCTAAGAGACACGGTATAACTCACCGTGATGGTTTGACCTGAACACTCGTCAAGTTGTACCGGCAAGTTGTTCAATTTCAACTCATGTGAAGTACGAATTGTCTTCATGAAACCGGGCATATCAAGGCCATCCCGATCGTTCTATGGCAGTATAGAAGGTTAGGTCCATACATATCTAAGGGAGAAATACCCACAGTGGTAATGGTCCATTCGAGCGGACCAACGCAACAACCAGGACATTGCTCGACATCAACCATAACTTTGAGATTGCCTTCGTCCCATCTACCCCAGACAACCCTAGCGGCCCAGATTGACTGCGGAAGGTGGGCATGATTGACAAAGCTGTCGTGTGGGGACCAATTGTTACGATCAGGGTTATTGCTCATGCTCTGGAGTGCATGTTGTGCGCGTGCATTCCACATCATCTCATACACCTTCTGGTCAGAGTTTAGCCAACTACCCTCTTGAGTTGCAGGGCGTTTGACATATGTAGCATGTGCCCATCCTTGGCCGGAGTAGTACCCAAATCCAACTGCAAAGTGAGATCTGGTTTCATCGTTGGCATACACCACAACCATGAGGTCGTTCGTTCGCGACGAGAGTGTGACAGTATTGTTTGTGATGTCTCGGGGGAAGGTGCCACAACGGGTGAAACCATGGCATGCAGCACCCCGATCGTCGAGTGTAAGACAGCAAGGCGTCTCTCTGGCGTCCGGAGAATAGGTGAGATAAAGCCGCCTGGTCAGTGGATATGTCTTGCGGGTCTCTGTGGCGTTAAAAGACCGGTTATAGGTCGATCTGCACGAAGCCAAATCGATGGTGATCAGTTTTCCGTCGTTGTCGCTACATGCCAATATGGCTTTGAATTCGGTTGGAGGGTCCAGATAAGGTATGATAGGTAACCATATTTGGATACCTGCGTTGGTAGCAACGAACCCCGACATCAGTTGGGAATGAGCAGTTTGGCGCCACTCAGATCCGTTCTCGAGACCACCGATATCGTGGGAATGAACGTAGTCCGCTAATTTGTCGACGAACTGGTCGGATTCCACCACTCTAATGTCGCGACAATCCCGAAAGTAGCTTGGGTCGTCTGCCAACACACTGCCATACCGAGGCATCCTCCCGTAGGGATCCCATGCAAATATGCTCTGGTCGCTAGACATCCGCATGATCTCCAGCTGGAGCTTTTGAAACGCTTTCTCTCCTTCCCCGTACAACATCGGCATACTCACACCAAATAATCCCATCAGTGCATATGCTCGATCCTCCACTCGTGTCGTCCTCCGGTCAGCTGCCCACGACATTATTTGAGCAATGCTGGGGCGCTTCGACGTTATCCCATGTTCTAAAATATCGACCGGAATCCGCGTGATTTTCTCTAATGTCGATCCTAGGCGTCGCTTGTTGCCAATATGTATCCAGTCCTTGCTGAAAAATTCGATTCGCTTCGGAGCAATGAGTTCCTGGAGTGTCCAACCTCGGCTGAACCACTCTGGCCAGCCGTTCGATTTGCTAAACTTGCTGTTGTTACGTTCCGAAGGAAAGCTTGACTCCTCGATGTCACCGATGTATGCATAACATACCTGCGAATTTTGATACCAACTATACATCGAATTGATCGCCTCGGATAACTCAGCACTGCTCCGCTTGTCGATGCAACACGTGTCGACCCAGAGCCACTTGTAGCCATCCTTCAGGGCCCGCTCGCAACCCTCGATGATCTTCTGGTAGCCGTCACGCTGCCTGACCTTGTCCCTCTTCCGCTCCTCCATTTTCAAGAGCTTGGTCATTTCCTTGTAACTGACTTCCATTCCCCAGCGATGCGAGAGTATGGCATAACTCGTAGTCTTGTCATCTCCATACTTTAGGACCTCGGTGTCGGGATCCGCCTGGTGGATGTCCTGTTCTCGGTCGAGAACAGCTTGGACATCCAATAGGTGCATCTTCCTGCGAGGTCACTGCAAAGCACGACACGGAATTAGTCATTCAAGTAAGTACATTGTTGTGTAGACGTCTGAACCTACAGGATGTTTCTTCAGACGGAAGGCGGAGTAACTTTACAGTGAAGGGAACAAACCGGGACTTGAAAGGCGCAGTGGATTTTGAAGGGGCGAACACACGTGCTATCGGACGTGAGGCATAGTACTTGCCGAGGTTTTTGAACGCGGCCATCACGGCAGGTGCTGTAACGCCTGGGATCATACTAATCGCAGCGCCTGGAAGTCTCTACTATGGTGCCGATCACCTAGAAGCCGCTACATGTGTGACAGAGGCCAAATTCTGATATGACTGGAACCCTAACCCTAACCCAGGGACACTTATGTATATTCTTCCATTGTGAACTCAAACTTCATTGGGTTCTTCAGGGGTTGTGTGAAAAAGTATCTTTGTAACAACTTTGATGGAACCTGAAGGCAAATCCCCCAATGGTATTCCAGTCTGTACAGCTAGGTACCATTTGTTGATGGGAGCTGCTCAGGCTTGGAAACAAAGGATGCACATCAACAGGTTCAGAAATTCAGCACCACCAGGTACAAATCTCATCAATCTCATCATCCATGTGCCAGAAGCACAGCTTCTTGACTAAATATGGTATTCCCCCCACTCTGGCCATATCTGTCCCACCAACAGAATTTTTCTCCAGTAATTCTTTAGCAATGAAAAAAAAAACTCTTATGCAATTGTTCTGTTTGCTGAAAGGAGTGTTTTCACAAGAAACTTAATAATAATGATGATTTCATAAATGGGAAAAACGTTTGCACACATGTAGCAGCTTCTAGGTGATCAGTGCCATAAAAAATTAGTCCAGTTTGTGCAACCGACAATAATGGACCCGCAAAAGTTGAAGGGGATAAGGTATCCATGTGAAACACAATGCCAAGCTTAGTTGAGCTGAATGTCGAGTCTCTGCTACAAAACAGTTGTGCGGATGACGGAAGTAACAAGCACACACTTACGTAAACTGTAAACCCAGGATATTAGTGTTACCGTCCCGATTAATCCATAAAGAGTACAAGGCTTCTCACGAACAAAGCAAACGCTACGAGTACATTGGCGAAGTCCGGGAGGTCATACGTTAAGATCGTATCACAGACTGTTTAGAGCCGCAAACATGAAACTTCGACACGATCAACAGAATATGGGGCGGATTTAAGGCGTCGAGCTGTGAAAAGATTCTCTGAATCTCTGCATCTCCAACGCTCGACACCTCGACTTTGTGCCATGGCATCCACACATCCACATCCCCGCCCTCAGCGAATAATTCAGCACCACTACTGATAACCGAACCGCCGCTGCCATCGGTAGGCGCGAAGCTGAACAGCACGACGTACGTGCCAGTCGTGAGATCACCCGCAAACTTGTGCCGGCCCGTGAGGCGACAAAGTGCCAGGCCAGAACGCAGGACAGGTGCAGAACGCGGCTTCTCAGGTGTCTTGATGACCTGAAAGATCTTCAAGATACGGAGTCGCATGTCAGACGCGACGGTTGAGTTCGACTCCAGCTTTTTCTCTATCTGACGTTTCCACAAAGCAAAGTCGGTCTGCTTAGACGAAAGATGGCGTTGAGCACGCTCCGCAAGCCCTCCACTACCGCACATGACGCAATTAGATGTTGTCGTCTGCGACCAATAAACTTGACTTACCGAATAAATTTCGGGTCCTTGCCATGTGACCGCTTTCTCGGACTCACCATGATACCCCTTTGTAACTCTCGGTCGGTAGATGAAGTAAACGTATGTCCGTGCTGCTGCAGAAATAACGCGAGTAATTCTGCCCCCGTACCATCCTTTGTAGGATCGATAGCCTGTGCAACGCTAGTGGTCAATATCGTCCTCATGTGCTTTGACGGCGATGGAGGTTGTTGGGCTGGAACAAGAGGAAGCGCGAGAGACTTGAGAGGCGCAGTCGGTTTAGAATGGGTTGGGAGGGGAGGGGGCTTTGGGATTGACCTAAGCGTTTCAGATGTCGACGTCGATGGCGGCTTTAACGTCGCCCGTAACGTCGTCAGGCTTGTAGACGCTGTTGCCTTGTCTTCAGCATGAGTTAGCTCGGTGAATGCTGGAACTCTCAGTGGCTTAAAGGCAGCGTCGCTTGGAGTTCGTGGGCGATGTCCTGTGGAGAGAGGTTTTGGTTTCTTGGTGAAAACGCTCGGCTTGCTTGGCCCAGCCTCATCAGATGGCTCTAATGCAAAGGGATTCTGGGGTCGGTGAGCAGAACTAGGTTTCGAACGATGTTTGTTGCTGCCATTTTGCGGTGGTCCGACTGAAGGAGCAGATTTGAATGACGAGCCAGGTTTTGTGATGCTCTCTGGTGGCTTGTACGAGGATTTAGGTTTCTCAAACCCATCTGGCCCTCGTAGACGTGTTTTCTTGGTAGGAGGCTCCATATGGACACAGTTTGAAGTTGTTCACCCAATTGTAGATTTACTCGTATATTAGTTCAGCGAGGGACTCCAGCCCGACTGTGGTAGTGGATTTACGCGGAGGCACACAGATATAGTCTATCCTCAATCACATCTACGCTCAGTGGTGTGCTTCTGCTACTTTCACGTCGGCCTCTAAAAACGTCAAGAATGCCTCTGCACCCTGTCCAAATTCTCCTGTTGAACTTGCGGTTGCAGACTCGCCGGCTGTAGTAGGCTCGATTGCGTCATAGGCTGCCAACTCAGCAGCGAGATCTACCGGGAGCGTGGGTGGTTTGGGTGGCTGTATCGGGGAGAATGGCTTGACGGCGCCGAGGTGAGCATCTTTTGCCTGCGGAGACACGGTATTAAAGAATGAGCAGCTGGAGAAAGGTGCGATACATACAACGGGGGTAGGCTTGTAGGCTTTTAGTTCTCTAATATAGAGATCCTGGACGATGTCTGTACAAGCAGAACGCGTCGTGAGCTGTACTGTAGGTCGGCGAAAAGCGGAACTATATACCTCTACGACTCGCAGTCGAGGTAGAGAATGGCCGTGCAGAACAAGCCTATAGTCGCAGGTCAGTTAAATGGTGAACTGCCCGTCTGTATGCCTGGACTTACTGCTTGTCTGAGCAAACGCAAAGAAGACATGGCTGGAGTCGAGGACCAAGTCGAGGCAAGAGTGAAGGCAGGCGTGACTGCGTGACATACCAGCGTCACGGGAAAACATGGCCCCCGCAAGTCTTGACTTGGACCATTCGACATGCTCGCTCGTGTAACTCGTGCTGTCTCCACAAGACGTGTACCCCCCGGAATGAGGGGTTATAGTGGACGAAGTGAGGGTACAGTCGCTCAGACAAAAGAATTCGGGTAGGTACTCAGTTTACGACCTTTGGTCAGTTCATATGAGTTTGAACGTTATCCTCGTAGGAAGAAGGAAAGAGCCCATGAAGGTGATCATCAGTCTCATGCTTTGCAAGTTTGGGACTAACACCCGTCAGAGGAGTATACGCGCAGGCATGATGCAGAGTTGTTGCGCAAACTCAAAGCAGAGGTACGTATACCCTCGTCCTGGATCCGTTTGTGAGCGTGCCATACTTATGCCGGGCCTAGGTAGAGAAAAAGAAGAAGGAAATTGTACGTTGCCGCTCAGAACAAAGAGCTGATTATTTCATCACCCGTCGAGCAAGTAAGCTGACCACAAAACCCAGGCCGACCTCGAGGCAAAGGTGGGGGAGCATGAACAGACGAAGTAACGAAGTAGTTCTGCAGTCGTTGTGTGGCCTGTTTCTTTTTCTGTTCTGCTGTGTACCCATCCATCCTGTCTCCAATCAATCTATTCGGTGTGACGTAGTCTGTTCCGTTTCCGATTCGGTGACTGACCATGTCCCAAAACATCCGAGTGTCGTCGCTATCGAGCATGGCAGCCGACCCATCCGCTGTCATTAGAATAGCCGTCGTAAGTATGCGAATGTGCGTGTCGGGCTCGCATTTCACGGTAGCAGGCATTTGCAGCTCTCAAACACAAGCCAAGGGACCAGTCGACCGCATGTCAGTAATGCGAATGTCGTCTTCCACGCACTAAAACAGTCCTGTGTAGCATACGTCCTAGACCTCCAGTCGCAGTTTCCGCTTGTCAATCAGGCCATCTCTTCGCAGACACAAGACAGCGCTGAGAGATGGAGGGCTCATGCAATACGTCTCGAGGGCCAGCTCAAGGAACTCCAGGCAAGACAGGACGCTGACCAGCAAGGTACGCATCGCGCAGCTACTCGCTGTACGCAGTGTCCTACCCCGCCGTAGAGCTCGTCCAACTTCGCCACGACGTCGCACAAGCTCAGGCTCAGGCACACGAAAAGGAATCGTCCCTACAACCTCCCAAAAAGAAAGCCAAGAAGAAACACAAGGAACAACATCTTGACGAATCTACTTGGAAATGGGAGTTGGTGCGCACAGGTGAGAAGTCAGATTTTTAGACGTTACTGTGTGTCCTATACATATGGTCTTCTACCTCCACGAACGAGTGTCTAGGCTGGTCCGACTTCATTCACTCCCTATACCCGCCTGAACCCTCGCTACTTATCGCATATACTTCTCTACGCGGGGCCCTTCTGTCATCGTGTTACCCGTTCGCCTCGGGGACAGGCAAGGAAGTTCGTATGAAAACCTACATCCATCGTCTTGCAGACGCAATGATCCGCGCTGCTGAAGCCATATATGCGTTTCTATTCGTCAAGAATGGGGGCAAATACATGACTACTGAGACGCCTTCTTCCTCCATGGGTGGCCTACCAGCGCACTTGGCCTTAACACCTTCACCACCAACACCATCACGGGGAGGACGATACCAAGACCTAACTTGTGCCTCCATAGCTATGTGCTACCCTCTCCTCGCGTACACCCTAACCACTGCCTTCCCTGCTCTTCTTAAAGCCTGTGAGGATTTATCGTCCTCATATGCCAAGAACGACACATTGCGCGGGACAATCCCACTCCCTTCAAGCGAACGACCTGAATATCATAGAGAATCTGACTACCATCAAATCAATAGAGTCATAGACGTTCTGTTAGAACTGACCCTGCTTCCGTTCGTGCGCGCATTTCGGCCACTCTGCTGGGCACGTCTTCTTCCTGTAATTGAAGGCGCCAAAAGTGGCGTTGTCGATGTCGATACCAACGCCAAGGCTAAACCCGGTGTCAAAGCTAAGGGAGGATCTAGTAATATCGCGAAAGGTGCAGTGAAGGAGAAAGGCAAGGGCCATGAAAGACAACCAAAAAGCAATTCGAAGGAAGATGCCACAAAGACAAAGGCTGGAAATGGGAAAGCGAACCAGAAAGCCAAA